TGTCCCCACAGTGCCTGATGTGTGTTTACTTTTCACATTTTACTTAACTACTCTTTGGGGGAGGGTGGCACACACGTGTATAGAAATCAAAGGACAACCTGCAAGAGTCAGTTCTCGCCTTCCACCAGGCTAAACCAATGACTGAATTCAGGCTTGGAGCATCTTTCACCCTGATGTTCCAGTGTGAAAGAACTTGCAACCTCCCAACAGCTTCCTGATCATATCAGGTGCTTTTGAGAAACAGAAATCCACATATTAGTGCCCCACCTACCATCTTACTTAGGGCACTGCTGTTGGCTATTGATTCTCAAAATCGGTCTCCACGAGAGGCTGGCAGAATGGCAAATTAGCACATTACTAGTCATTGATACTTTCCCCTCTAAACACATACCAACCGCAGGGTACTTTATTACAAGCTCACCCCAAAAAGAGTACAATTGGCATGGAATGGTGTGGTTAAAAGTAAGGACTCTGGAGCCAGACTCTGGGTTAAATCTTGGATAGACTCTGGCAGGATCTTGGATGGCTGCACTAATCTGTAACATGCAGATAGCCACACTATCTACCTCACAAGGAGGGGCGTGGCTTAAGGCTCTGTCTACATTATAAAACCCACACTGGGCCAGTGTGATGCCTTAGCAGGTGAAGGGACTCATCACCAAACCTGAGCACCTTAGTTCAGCCCGGGATGCACATGGCGGAAGAGGAGAACTGACCATCAAAACTGTCCTCTGACCTCTACATGGACAGTGTGGACTGCATGCCCCACATACACACACATACAAAATAAATGAATGTTAAAAAAAATTAAGTTAGCTGGGCAGTGGTGGGGCACGTCTTTAATCCCAGCTCTCAGGAGGCAGAAGCAGGTGGATGTCTGTGAGTTCGAGGCCAGCCTGGTCTACAAAGTGAGTTCCAGGACAGTCAGGGCTACACAGAGAAATCCTGTCTCAAAAAAACAAAACAAACTTAAAGCTATGATAATAAATAAAAATGAATGGAACCCTATATTAAGAGGGGGGAAAATCTTTATTCCCAGCACTCAGCAGGCAGAGGCAGCAAATCTCTGTGAATCTGAGGCCAGGCTGATCCACATAGGGATCTAGGCTTCCCAAGGCAAAATAATGAGAATGGAACTAAAAAACCAGAATACAATGTAAAGTGCTAACACAGTGTGACCCTGGGCTGCGCTGGAGTAGATGTCTACATTCAGAGACAATAGTGCACACACTCACTTGGCTCTGTGGTTGTTTTTCATGTCTTCAAGAATGGAGAAGGTTGTGAGGGCACACCCACCATTGTCCAGCGACGCTGACTTTTCAATGAGATTGGTCACAAAGTCATCAAAGTGACAACCAACTTCCTTCAGAAACAGTGGCTTCAGTTCCTGAAGTTTTAGAACAAATAAAGGAAAATGTCAGCACGTGTTGGTGGGTCATTGACGTTTCTCTAAAGGGATCCCTTAAACAGAGCTGGTTCGGTAGAAAGCCACACTACCCAAGTGAGCAAAAGGCCGAAGAAATAATTTCAATAGCTGACTTGTAGTTTCAGACATGGCTGCTGAAAACACAGTAACAACACATACCCCATTAAGAATGTATACCATCCACCACCACCACCCCGCCCCCCCACCTCAAGATGCTATATAGACAAAGGACCTTGATCTTCCAGCCTTCACCTCCAAAGTGCTGGGATCAGTCACATGCCACCATGCCTGGCGATATGCCTTCTCTAAGTCCCAAGGATACCGAAGGAAAGCACCTGGGAAATGAGCGCCTACAAAGGACACTAACACCAAAGGTACACGCTGGCAGAGAAGAGAGCAGAGAGAGGCAGAGCAAGTGGGAGGCCACCTGGACTAAGACTCTGCCTCCAAACGCGTGCGCACACACACCACAGCAGATAAAAATGAGAACACTTTTAATATTTTTATTTAGGAAACAAATATCAATGTCTATATTATGTAATTACCAGTCTTTTTTTCCCCTAAAGAAATCCCTTTGCAGCCAGGCGGTGGTGGTGCACACCTTTAATCCCAGTACTCGGGAGGCAGAGGCAGGTGGATCTCTGTGATTCTGAAGCCAGCCTGGTCTACAGAGTGAGATCCAGGACAGGCTCCAAGCTACACAGAGAAACCCTGTCAAAAAAAGAAAGAGAGAGAGAGAGAGAGAGAGAGAGAGAGAGAGAGAGAGAGAGAAAAGAAAAGAAATCCCTTTGCTCCCAAGTTCCCACAACTTATATTCTAAACAGCTTTTTAAAAAGATTTTATCTTATTTTATGTGTTTTGCCTTCATGGGTTTATATGCACCGTGCACAAGCCTAGTGTCTGTGGAGGTCAGAAGAGGGCATCAGACCCCCCCAGAACTGGAGTTATGTATGGATGGTTGTGAACTACCATGTGGGTGCTGGGAACCAAATCCCAGTCCTCTGCAAGAGCAACAAGTGCTCTTCACCACTGAATCATCTCTCCAGCTACCACAATTTACATTTTAAAGCATGTCATTCTATATCATATCTATGTTTATATAATATTTATTCCTACCTCCATAACTATGTATTTAGCTAAACATAGATCATGAATAAAGGTGGTGGTGGCACACACCTTTGATCCCAACATTCGGGAGGCAGAGGCAGGTGGATCTCTGTGAGTTCAAGGCCAGCCTGGTCTACAGAACTAGTTCCAGGACAGCCAAGGATACACAAAGAAACCCTGTCTCAGAAAAAAATATATATATGAATATGTATGTGTACCTAGTTGTATATCTAAATATTGCTACACATATTCATAAAACATAAGTGTGTACATATATATATATATATATATATATATATATAAAATCATATACAAATACATAAGTAGAAACGTGAAGTGGTACACACATGTAATCTAAACACTCAGGAGGCAGAGGCAGGAGGATCCTCTGTCTCAAAAAAATATATAAATAAAAGGTATATACAATTGTTATTGTTTTGGGCCTCCAGCTGTTCTTAATATTTCAAGATAAATACTTACAGCTTTTAATATATTTGTGTATTATGAATACATATGTATTTTTTTTCAGGTTACAATACATTGAGGCAGAAGGAATGCTATGAGTTTGAGACCAGCCTGAGCTACATAGTGAGTTCTAGAACAGCCTGGGATGGTCTAGTGAGACCCTGTTTCAAATCATAAATAAATAAATAAATAAACAAATAAATAAGAATAAGTAAATAAAATAAAATTAAAACCTAAAATGCCTGTGCATGTAATTGCAGGAAGGGTAGTGAGAATACGCTTATATGCTCTCAGGGATGACACGGTTGGAAAGACACGGTTGGAAAGACCAGCCTCTGCCTCAAGTGCTGGGATTAAAGTCATGCGCCACCACACCTGGCTATGACCCAGCTCTCACTCCTTATCCACTCCTTGCCAGATGAGTGTGGAGCCTTTGCTTCTGTCTAAGGATGAGGAGAAAGAGTGTCCCACAGAAAGGACAGCTCTAAGGAACAATGAGAGAACAGGGACAAGGAGAGGACACAGGCATCAGTGGTGACAGCCAGTGGAAAACAGAAGGTTTCAGGTTTTCTCTGACACCCCAAAGGGGCGCAAAGCATTTCAACAGGATTAACTCCGGCCTTTTATCCCCTCTCAACTCAAAATTTGCACACGGGTATTTCAGGAATCCAAGACAATCATTTCAATGCAGCCCCTTATATACAGCGTTATACTTAGCGGCCTAATGCTATGTCTTCATGTCTTCCTTTCTGAGGAATTAAAAGTCAACAGAAGCTGCAGCCAGAGGGGTTCAAGAAACCTGCCTTTGTGAAGATCATGAAGTTTCTTTAAACTCCGTTCAAAAATCCTCATGGAGGCGACACCAGTGACTACTTAGACTGTCATTCCCTCTGAGAGGGGACAGAAAGAGACGGCTAATGGAGGGCTCTTCTCCTGCCTTCCAAGTTCTCCTAGCACATGAAACTGTTCTTTAGTTAGTCCGAGTAAGTCTGAGCAGTAACCTGAAGAGACATGGTGTTAGCTGGGGCTTTCCCGCTGACTTGATCTCTCAAACCTGCATCTCTGACGCATTAACTTCACTCAGCCAATGGACCTCGAGGGGTGGAGAGAGGCTGAGGGGACAAGGACGGTGACTAGAAATGAAGGTGTTTAGATAATCTGGGAATCACCCCAGCACTTGGGAGGCTGAGACAGGAGGATTGCTGGCCATTCTGTATGTTTCCAGGCCACCCGGAGCTACAGAATAAGACCCCGTTTCAAAACAACAAAAACCAAACGAACAGGAATCCAGCAAACAAATGCACTGTGTTTTGGGGCTCACAGAAATGAACCTTCTATTTGAAACAAGCAGCTGAATCAGATCACCCAAAAGATTCCAAGAATGGGGAACAAGATTCTGTGGTTAGGAACCCACACAAGAAAAGCACACATGCTCAGGGGTGATGAGACAGACGCCCAGATAGGAATGGGCGGACATTTTAGACACAGATTTACAAACGCACTCAGATCCACGACTCAGAAAGCTGCTTTTCTAGAGAGCCTCCCAGGCAGATGCTACACTGGACTGACTGAGCACTTCAATGAGAAAAGCGCGGAGTCATTTGTGGATGAATTGAATAATTCTTCCAAAGGCTGAAAAACTTCCAAGCAGGTTGGGAGAAGCAGCGCAGAGCAAACCAATCAGGACACAGCTTTTTAGCATCTCAAAACCCCACATGACTGAATCAAAATTTCTTCACAGATGGCTTTAAGGAAGATTGTGCTGACTCCACAAGGCCCCTAATCGCCTGGGAATTGTTTGGTTTCTCTGACTCAGCCCCTGGCTTAGCACAGAGAACCTTTCAATCTCACAGAAAGAGGCTGTGGCACAGAACAGAAACCGGACCCTTCTAGACCAAGACAAGCAACCCAAGGAAGGGGGAGGGCGGGTTCCTAGTCAAATGCTCCATTGACTTCCGGGTCGGCCTTAGAAAGACACTCCTCATTCTTTTCCTTCATTGTACTTAACTCCTTTTCAAAAGCTCTTATCTCTTTTTCCTGTTTGCCTTCCCAACTGATTTTCAAAATCTTGGTCGTTGGTTGGTTGATTTTTTTTGTTCTCATTCTCTAGCCCAGACTGACTCAAATTGGAATTGATCCTCCTGCCTCAGTCTCCTGAGTGCTGAGCAAGTACCACCTCTATTTGTACATTATGCATCCAGCTCTCATAAAAGTAACAAGTGACTTCGCAATTTCCAAACAACTGTGGAACCAGCCGGTACCAAAACTCCTACAACACGCCACCGCTAGACTCATTCAATGTTTGTTATAAAGGATGTAGAAAGTGGTTATTAAAAACAAAAAACAAAAACAAAAACAAACAAAAAAAAAAAACCCACCTCACCTTGACTTTTTTCCTGGAAGCTATGAAGGGAAAGGGACTAAAAATCACGTGACCACTGTTTACTAGATGACTACATATGACAGATCTCTGTTGGGGGCTTGTATATATTATCCCTAGCCTTGAAAACAGGCAAGCATTACAATTCTTATTTTACACATAGGAAACCTAATCTTTAAAAACTCAACTGAAGAGCTAGGGCTGTAGGCTTATTGATAGATGTTTCCTTAGCTGGAGCAGGGTCCTGTGTTCTATCCGAGCCTGGGGTTGGGCAGGGTTAGTTAAAAGAAGTGGGTGAAGTGTTGCAGAACATTTATGTGACCATGTAAAGATGTGCTGCATTTGTTTAATTGCGTAGATGTGTTGCTGTTTTACCTTGTCTGCCTAAGGCACCTGATTGGTCTAATAAAAAGCTGAACGGCCAGTAGTAAGGGAGGAGGTATAGATGGAACTTCCAGGAAAGCAAAGTAAGAAGGAGGAAGAATTTAGGCTTAGGGAGAAAGAGACAGAGAGATGCCAGGGAGACTTGAGGGGCCAGACAGACAGACACAGAAGCAGCAGGAGAGTAGGGCATACAGAACTAAAGAAAGCTAAAAAGCCCAGAGGCAAAACATAGATGAATAGAAACAGGTTAAATTAAAAGAGCCAGTGGGACAAGCCTAAGCTAAGGCTGAGCATTCTTAATTAATAATAAGTCTCCGTGTCTTTATTTGGTTGGCCCAAAGAAAATTCTAACTACCGTAAAGTAGTGTGTGCGATGTCCTAGAACTTGTCTACTGTCAAGTTGGGGAAAATCTGGGTACATACAACCTCAGACTTCATTATGCTATATTGCTTTCCACCACACATTATCTGAAATATTTTCTACATATATGATTAGTAACATCAACAAAACAAACAAGTAAAAAAAAAAAA